CTCCTCCTCCTCCTCCTCCTCCTCCCCCTCCCCTCTCACTGCGCCACAGCGGCGATGCCGGGGGGGGCACACAGGGACCCCCCAACGCCGCTGCCACCCCCCCAAACCCACCAGACCGCGCGGCGAGGGACCCCCCCCCAAAAAAAAAATCACCAACCCCGCTCCTTCCCTCCCAAAAAAACCTGCCCCCTACCCCCCAAAAACCCCCCGGCAGCGCCGTGTCCCCCCCGCCGCGGCCTCACCGGGGGGTTCGGGGGGTCGAGGGGAAGGTTGGGGGGTGATCTGGGGGGGTCTCACCTGCGGGGAGGGGGGTCTGGAGGCTGCCCCGCTTCTTGAAGGGACACTTGGCCGGGGGGGCGGAGGACATGGCGGCTCGGGGGGAGGAGGATGAGGGTGAGGATGAGGATGAGGATGGGGGGGATGGAGGGGGCGCGGGGGGTCCGGCGGCCGCGGCCGGCGCTGGTTGATGATTGATGGGGGAGCGGGGATGGAGCAAAGTCCCCGGCGGGGCCCGGCCGGAAACCGGCGCGAGGAAGAGGATGGGGCGGGAGGAGGATGGGGCGGGAGGAGGAGGAGGAGGAGGAAGGAGGTGGCTGCGGCTGCCGAGCTGCGAGAGGGGGGGACGAGAGCCGGACGGGGCTGTGAGATATCGGGGTGCGGGGCTGAGCCCCCCCGGACAGCGGACCCCCCCCGGGGGACAGGCGTGTGCCCTCATGGGGACAGACGTGATGCCCCCAGACAGCCGTGACACCCCCGTGGGGAGAGGTGTGACCCCCCCAGACAGCCGTGACCCCCCCGGGGGACAGTTGTGACCCCCCCCCGGGGGACAGTCGTGTACTTCCATGGGGCCAGTTGTGACCTCCCCAGACAGCCGTGACCCCCCCGGGGGACAGTTGTGACCCCCCCGGGGACAATCGTGTGCCCTCATGGGGACAGTTGTGACCCCTCCCAGACAGCCGTGACACCCCCATGGGGACAGTTGTGACCCCCCCAGACAGCCGTGACATCCCTGTGGGACAGTCGTGACCCCCCCGAGGGACAGTTGTGACCCCCCCGGAGAACAGTCGTGTACCCCCTTAGGGACAGACGTGAACCCCCGAAACAGCCGTGACCCCCCCAGACAGCCCTGTACCCCCCCGGGGACAGTTGTGCCCCCCCGTACAGCCGTGTCCCTCCTCCCCAGTCAGGCATTGCCCTCCCCGAGGGGTGGTATCGAACCCCCCCAAAATGACAGTGACCCCTCCAATGACAGGGTAACCCCCCCTGAGATCCCCGAGGGAGGCATTGTGCCCCCCCCGTACAGGCACTGCCCCCCCGGCCAGGCACCGTCACGGCGAGTGCTCCCCGTGAGCAGAGGACCCCCAAAAAACAGCGAGCACCCAAAAAACCACTGGGTAACCCCCAAAACACTGACCACCTCAAAAAAACCACCGGGTAACCCCAAAACACCGAGTTCCCCCCAAGCACCCAGAACCCCAAACCCACCGAGTACTGCCCACAAACAGAGCACCCCCAAAAACCACCCAGTACCCCCAAAACACCGAATATCCCCCAAAAACACCGAGTATACCCCAAAACACCGAGTACACCCCAAAACACTGAGTACCTCCAAAACACTGAGTACCCCCAAAACACTGAGTACCCCACAACCACCAAGTGCCCCCCAAAACCACCGAATACACCCCAAAACTAGTACCACCCAAAACACTGAGTGCCCCCAAACCACCAAGAACCCCCCAAAACTCCCAGGTACCCCCAAAAAGGGGCATCGCCTCCTCCACCATGAGCACCCCCCCCTCAGACGGGCACTCTCTGCCCCCCTAAACCCTCCAGCTCACCCCTCCAGGAGCAGAGCCCGGTTTGGGGGTGCCGGGGGGGGGGTCCCTGTCTGTGTCCCACCTGCCTGGGGTCCCTACCTGGGCGGGGGTCGCGGTGGCTCCGGGTGGGTGTCGGGCCGTGTCCCCTCCGCGCGTCCCCGGAGCCGTCCCGGCGCAGGGGGGGATTTTTGGCCGCCGGGAATGTCACAACCCCCCCCCCGGGCCCGGGCCCCCCACTCCTCGGCGAGGGGACAGCGAGGGGACAGCGAGGGGACAGCGGGGCCAGCGCCGTGCCAGGCTGGGAGGGCACCGCACACTGCGGACCCCCGGGCTGCGCTCCCCTGCCCGGCGCTGCCCGGGGGGGTCTGGTATTTTAATTGGACCCCCCTCATTAACGCCGGGTTCATTAGAGGCTCAGAAGGGGCTTTGTGTGCGCGGGGACAGCGGGGACAGCGGGGACAGAGTGTCCCCAAGGCAGGGCCACGCGCCAGGTGCGACATGGGGACACCAGGGCGGGGACACGACCCCTCCGGGCCCCTCGGGGCTGCGGGGCTTTAGGGGACCTTAAATCCACCTGCAGGACCTTTGGAGGACCCCAAACCCCACCCGGGGCTTGTAGGACATTTGGGGGCCCCAACCCTCACTGGGGACCTGCAGGACATTTAGGGGACCCCAAACCCCATTGGGGATCTGCAGGACATTTGGGTAGACCCCAAACCCCACCGGGGACCTGCAGGACTTTTGTGGGACCCCACATCTCCTTGGAGACCTGCAGGACCCTTGGAGGGGTACCCACACCACACGGGGGACCTACAGGACCTTTGGGGACCCCAACCCAACCCCCAGGGCGGGGGGTCCCCCCTGCAGTGCCCATCCAAAACCAGCCCCACAAGAGGAAAGGGGGGGGGCCACCCACCCAGCCCTGGGCTTTGGGGGGGCCCCGCGGTCCTACCGGGCTGGGGGATGGGCGGGGGGGGGGGGAGGATGAGGAAGAGGAAGATGAGGAGGAGGAGGATGAGGAGGATGAAGGCTGAGCCACGATCCCATTAAAGAGCTTAAGGCAGCGGGAGGGCGAGGGGCGGCCCCGGGCGGGGCGGGATTAGGGGGGCTCATTATCCTCCCCCCCCCGTAATTAGCTCCCTTTTCCCTGCGGGAGGAATCCCCCAGTGCCACCACCCCCCTGCCACCACCCCCTGTCCCTCTGTCACCACCCCGTCCCTGCCACTGCCCTGTCACCTGCAGCGCCCCGGGGTGGGGGACACACCCAGCGCCCCCCAAACACGGGGTCGCAGCCCCAGAACGGCCCCCCCTGCCCGAGTCACCCCCCGGGGACACTGGGGGGCCACATCCCCACGGCCGGGGGGTGTCACCTGCCACCCCCCCTTATGTAAAGCCACCTCCCCTCGATGCTCCTTGTGTCCCACCCCCGAGCCCTAATCTTTGCCATCTTGGGCTAATTGGATTTCCTGGGTCACATGGCGAGATAAAAAGTCCCCAAATCCCACTGTCAAAAAAAATCAGGTTATCCATGGGGAATTAAGGGCCAGAGCGGGGGGCAGCCGAGCAGGAGCACCCACCGAGCGGCTCTGCCTGGGGCACCCCAAAATCCGCGCTCGGGGCCTCCTTTGGGCTCCCCGGTTTCTCGGTTCGACCCCCCAGCGCCCACCTCGCCCCCGGGGTGCGCGTTGACTCGCCCCCGGAGAGCTGGAAAAGCCGGGGGACCTAGAGGAGGTTGTGGCGTTGCTGGAGGAGGAGGACGAAGCCATGGGGAGCGGGGCCAGCGCCGAGGACAAGGAGATGGCCAAGAGGTCCAAGGAGTTGGAGAAGAAGCTCCAGGAGGACGCGGATAAGGAGGCCAAGACTGTCAAGTTGCTGCTGCTTGGTGAGGGCTGGGGGTGTCCCCGAGGGGTGTCCCGATGTCCTCACCCTGGTGGAGGTTGGGGAGTGTCCCCAAGGGTTGTCCCAATGTCCCCACCCTGGTGGAGGTTGGGGTGTCCTCAAGGGTTGTCTCGATGTCCCCGAGGGTTGTCCCAATGTCCCCACCCCCCGGAGCCTGGGTGGATGTCCCCAAGAGTTGTCCCGATGTCCCCAAGGGTTGTCCCGACGTCCCCACCCCAAGGAGGCTTGGAGGGATGGGGGTTGGGACCCCCTGGGCTGCTCCTGTTCCCCCTCGGAGCTGCCACCGGCCAGGAGAGGTTGTCCCACCCCTGGGTGTCCCCAAGGCTGTCCCTGGGAAGAGCTGGAGGTGCCATCGGCTCTTGGGGTGGCAGGGACAGAGGGAGGGGACAGGGAGGGGATGGGGACAGCGGGGCTGTGGCACATCCCGGGGGGCAGAGAGAGCCTGGGGACATCCTGCCACCAGGACCCCCAAACCCTGGGGGGTCCCCTGGGGGTCCCTCTGCACCCCAAGGGGCAGGGGGGTGACCCCAAGGGGCAGAGGGATGACCCCCCCCAGCATCCCCCCCAGCATATGGGGGTGACCCCACAGGACAGGGGGTGACCCCAAGGGGCAGAGCAGTGACCCTGCAGGGCAAGGGGGTGACCCCCTGGGGTACAGGGGTGAGCCCACAGGCCAGGGGGGTGACCCCCCGTGTCGGGGTGGCGGCGGGGCCTTATCCAGGTGGGGGGGCCGGGGGTCAAGGCGATTACCACCCTAATTCTAAGCGGCTTCCTGGGCCACCCTAAGCCGCTTACGAGGCACCGCCGGCGCTGCCCAGGGGTGGGTGGGACGGGTGGGACCCCAGGGACCCCCTCCAGGGGGGTCCCCACCGCCCCCCGCCACGGTCCCACAGTGCATGAGGGGGGACAGGAGCGCGGGCACAATGGCAGGAGTCCGGGCGGGGGGGGACAGTGGCTCTGGTCCCCTCGGGGTGCCCATCGCAGCCCCACTGAGGTGCCCGTTCCCACCCTTTTCCAGGGGCCGGAGAGTCTGGGAAGAGCACCATCGTGAAGCAGATGAAGTGAGTGTGGGATGGGGAGAGGGGACCCCCCCAGCCCACGGGCAGGGGGTGGCAGGACCCCCATCACACACCCCCCGGTGACTCTCGGTGCGGGGAGGGCAGGGGGTGCCCTTGGGGGCAGGGGGTGCCCCCCGGGGGTGCTGAGGCCACGGTGCCCCCCAGGATCATCCACCAGGACGGGTACACGGAGGAGGAGTGCATGGAGTTCAAGGCCATCATCTACGGCAACATCCTGCAGTCCATCCTGGCCATCGTGCGCGCCATGTCCACGCTGGGCATCGACTACGCCGAGTCCTCCTGCGCGGTCAGTGCCCCCCGAGCCCCCCCAGGGACCCCCCAGCACCCCCCCCGGGACCCCCCCGGACCCTCCGAGCCCCCCTGGGGGCAGGGGCAGGGCTGCCCCCCGGCCTCAGGGTGCTTTGGGGGGGTGAGGGGGCTCCGGGGCCATCCTGTGGGTGGGTGGGGTGACAGGGGGGGCTGAG